GTGGCCTGCACCACTTTTTATCTTACAAGAGATAAAAGGAAAGGGAAGTAAACAGAGGATTGGAGACCTCATACCACCAAGAAAGCAGTGCCGGGAGCAGAGCGCGTCCTTTGGGACCCAGGGTCCCTGCACGGAGAAGCTCCTAGTCCGAGGGAAGATTGATGAGAAGGCCGACAGAGAGAGAAAGCCTTCCCCTGGAGCTGACACTCTGAATTTGGACTCAGCCTGAAGCTGACGCCCTGAATTTGGACTTTTAGCCTACTATACTGTGAGGAAATAAACTTCTCTTTGTTAAAGCCATCCACTTGTGGTATTTCTGTTAGAGCAGTACTAGATAACCAAGACACCAAACCCCCCCCCCAAAAAAAAAATTACCCAAAGCAATCTACAAATTTAATGCAATTTCTATCAAAATTCCAACAGCCTACTAAATGGGCACACCAGCCCAGGGACAAAGACAAGAAGGCAGAAGGAGACAGGAAAGCTGGTAACAGAGAACCCACAGTTGAGAAGGAGAGAGTGTTGCCATGTCATGGGGTTGGCAACCAATGTCACAAAACAATATGTGTATTAATTGTTTAATGAGAAACTAATTTGCTTTGTAAACTTTCATCTAAAGTACAATTAAAAAACAAAAAATTCCAATAGCCTTTTTTTGCAGAAATGGAAAAGCCGATCCTCAAATTCATATAGAATTGCAAGGGACCCTGAACAGCCAAAATAATCTTGAAAAAGAAGAACAAAGTTAGAAGACTCACACTTCCCAATTTCAGAATGCACTATAAAGCTACAGTAATCAAAACAGTCTGGCACTGGTTGAAGGATAGGCATTTAGACTAATGGGATAGAATTGAAAGCTCAGAAATAAATCCATACATCTATGGCCAATTGATTTTTGGCAAGGATGCCAAGTCCATTCAATAGGAAAGGAATAGTCTTTTTAATAAATGGTACTGGAACAACTAGATGTCCACATGCAAAAGAATGAAGTTGGACCCATACCTCACATCATATGTGAAAATTAACTCAAAATGGACCAATGACCTAAATGTAAGAACTAATATCATAAAACCTTAGTAAAAAACATAGGGGTAAAACTGCAACACTTTGTTTCTGACAATGAATTCTTAGATATTACGCCAAAAGCATGATCAACAAAAGAAAAAAATAAATTGGAGTTCATCAAAATGAAAAATTTTTGTGTATCAAAGGACTTTACTAAGAAAATGAAGAGACAGTCTACAAAATATTTGGGAAATATATATCTGATAAGAATTTAATATCCAGAATATATGAAGCACTCCTACAATTCAACAACAAAAAGACAACCGCAATTAAAAAATGGGCAAAGGACTTAGACATTTCTCTAAAGAAGATATACAAATGGCCAAGAAACATGCAAAAAGATGCTCAATGTCATTAGTCGTTAAGGAAATGCAAATCAAAACCACAATGAGATACCACTTCACACTCACTTGGATGGCTATTATTAGAAAAACTAAAACTAAAAAGTGTTGGCAAGCATGTGAAGAACCCTCATGCATTGCTGCTGGAAATGTAAAATGGTGCAGCCGCTGTGGAATTACCCACCAACAATTCCACCCCTAGGTATATACCCAAAAGACTTGAAAACAGGGACTCAAATAGATACTTGTATGCCAATGTTCATAGTACCATTATTCACAGTAGCCAAAAGGTGGAAACAACCCAAATGTCCATCAACAGATGAATGGATAAGCAAAATGTGGTATATACATACAAAGGAATATTACTAAGCCATAAAGAGAAATGAAGTTCTGATAGATGCTATAACATGGATGAACCTTAAAAACATAATGCTGAGTGAAAAAAATTAGACACAAAATGACAAATATTGTATGATCCCACTTATATGGAATATCTAGAATAGGCAAATGCATAGAGACAGAGGTTTGTTAATGGTTACCAGGGGTTAGGTTAGAAATCAAACAACGCATTGCATTGGGCAAATTTGCTGCAAAAGACCTCTTTAAAGTGTTAAAAAGCAAAGATGTCACTTTAAGGCCTATGGTGTACCTGACCCAAGCCATAGTGTTTTCAATCGCCTCATATGCATATGGAAACCCTGGTAGTGTAGTGGCTAAGAGCTCGGCTGCTAATTAAAAGGTCTGCAGTTCAAATCCACCAGGTGCTCCTTGGAAACACTATGGGGCAGTCCTGTAGGGTCACTATTAGTCAGAATCGACTCGACAGCAACAGGTTTGGATTTTTTGGTTTTCATATGAACGTGATTGCAATGAATAAGAAAGACGGAAGAAGAATGGACGCCTTTGAATTATGGTATTGGCAATGAATGTTGAATATACCATGGACTGCCAAAAGAGTGCACAAATCTGTTTTGGAAGAAATATAGCCAGGGTGCTCCTTGGAAGCAAGGATGGCGAGACTTGGTCTCACGTACTGTGGACATGTTATCAGGAGGGACCAGTCCCTGGAGAAGGATATCATACTTGGTAAAGTGGAAGGTCAGCAAAAAAAGAGGAAGACTCTCAACGAGATGGATTGACACAGTGGCTGTAACAATGAGATCAAGCCTAACAACGATCATGAGGATGGCACAGGACCGGGCAGTGTTTTCCTTCTGTCGCTATGAGTCAGAACCGCCTCGATGGCACCTAATAACAACAACAGGGGTTAGGGGGAGGAGAGAATGGGAGTTATTGCTAAAGGGGTACTGAGTTTCTGTTTGGGGTGATGTAAAACTTTTGGAAATGATGGTGGTAGCACAAGATGGATGTAATTAATGTTACTGAATTGTATACTTAAAAAGGGTTAAAATGGCAAACTTTTTGTTATATGTATTTTACCACAATAAATAAAAGTGGCGGTTGGTGGGGGAGGGCTGTAAAGGGACATCTGAAAAAGGAAATATTAATAATGCTCGAGGTCTGAAGCCTGAGCAAAGGGAAGAAATGACAAGGCCAATGACAGAAATAGGGAAACTGAGAAAAGGAGCTGTTATGTGGTCAAGTGATGCGTTCAGTCCAAGATGTAATGAGAGGGAAGCTGTGGCGGAGCATCTAAGTGGAGGTGCCTTTCTGGGAGTTAGACGTAATGGTTTAGAGATAAAGACAAAGAGAGATATTTAAGCCAAAGGCAATTAACTAAAGTGAAGAGTTTATCGAACAATCAACTCAGGGATTGTCTTAGTTATCTAGGGCTGCTATAACAGAAATACCACAAGCAGATGGCTTTAACAAAGAGAAATTTATTTTTTCACAGTCTAGGGGGCTAGAAGTCCGAATTAAGGGCATCAGCTCCAGGGGAAGCCCTTCTCTGTTGGCTCTGGAGGAAGGTCTTTGCTATCAATCTTTCCCTGGACTGGGAGCTTCTCAGCGCAGGGACCCCGGGTCCAAAGGATGTGCTCTTCTCCTGGCACTACTTTCTTGGTAGTATGAGATAGATTGGCTTAAAACACAATCCAGTCTCGTAGATTGAGTCTCATCAACATAACTGCCGCTGATCTCATCTCACTAACATCACAGAGATGGGATTTATAACACGTAGGAAAATCACATCAGGTGACAAAATGGTGGACAATCACACAATACTGGGAATCATGGCCTAGCCAAGTTGACAGATATTTTGGGGGGACACAATTCAGTCCATGACAGGGATCAAGAACCAAGCCTTAGGAAATACTCATTTAGGGGGAGATGGGATAGAGAGAAACCGTAAAAGAAGAGGCAGGATGACTATGAAAGAACAATGTCACCGAAGTCAAGTGAGAAATGGATTTTAAGCCATTTGAACTATGTCAGCAATGTCAAAGCAAACAGGAATTGAGAAAGGACTATTGAAAAAGGATCTGAGACATCCTTAAAGATGCCTGATCTCCGCCACCTGGGGTAACAAACAATTTGAGCTAAATAAGTTGTGAGCCATGCTAATGTTCTTTCCTGGCAGAAAGTTAAGTGATGGCATTTCTACCAACAAATGTGGGCAGGATTTCATGCTGTCAGCTCCCTGGGCTGTTTTCTCACAGCCCTACTGCTTCCACTTCTATTCCTGAGAAAAGCATAGAAAGCAGAGCTCATGTTGCTTGTCATACATCCATCTTGTCCCCTTACCGCCTGCCTAAAGGACAGGCAGGTCAGAAAGGCTACAGGCTGAAAATATGATTTGCAAAACTGTAGTTTAATGATGATTTATGACCAATAGCAGCAACAAATAAATGGAACAAGGCTGCTGCAATTAGCTTCCAGGGCAAATGATACATGTTTTGTCTAGAATAGGGACTGTGGAAGCGAGAATGAGGAACTGTCTCTTGTTTTCTGTCTGTCTTTATTGCTGTGGCTAGTTATTAAATGCTGTAACTTTTGGCATGGGGTTTTGTGAGGGTAGGACTCTTGGGTCAAGTTTCCCTGCACTTGCCTGATATTGGGTCATATGGGAGATACACATGTATAAGATCTAGTTTTCATCATGTTAATAATGTCCTGGGCTTGTCTATTTACTTGAAGGAATAGGAAATGCACTTCGCTTGGAGCATGAGGGATGATACTTGAGTTTTTATTAGTGGAATAATTTGTAGAATTTATGGAATAATTTGTCATCTTAGCTCCATAGAACCTTTAAAGATCTAAGGAAGCTAATCTGTCTGAAGAGGGATTTAGGCAGATGAGATCATGTCGAACAAATCACCTTGAAGGATCCAGAATTATTTTAAAATAAGATTCCAAACTAGTGAAGAAGTATGGGGGTTGTGAAAGTCTCGAAACTTTGTGTATGTTTTTTTAAAATAAAAATAGTGCATAAACTACATTTCCCAGGAGGCCTCGCGGCGAGCCTCCGCACTCGGCTAGTTCTCTTCACCGCGAAGTGAGATGGGAAATGTAGTGTGCCGAGCAACCTTGCACGTGACGCCTGCGGAGGGAGGCGAGGGGACCGCGCCACCCCGGACGGGCTAGCATCCAGGAGTGAGGTGTGGGCTACTCTTACCCCCGAATTTGGTTTGTGCAGTGGGAGCAGGGCCCCCGTCTTCTGGCCCTAACCTTGAAATAAGCTGAGCCGGCTTCAGTCGCCCACTGGAGTCGCACGGGGGAAGTCCGGGTGGTGAGGCACCGCGGTGTCTCCTCCCGTTTCTCGGCAGCCGGGCCGAGAGTGGCAGGAGGTGCCTACAGCCGGGGGGCTCAGAGCCGAGCCCTGTGCCCCACCCAGGCTGCGGCCGCGGGGGAGGAAGCGCGTATAAGTTGAGTGCAAAGTTTCCTTTTTTGTTTTCTCGTTAGTGCCGCCCCAGAGGCGGTGAGCGGGAATGCCTAACCTGAGTTTGTAGAGCGTCTGGAGCTAGAGGGGTTAAAACACTTCCCACCTCCCCAAAACGCTCACCCCGCTAGCCCGCCATGGGCAGCCGCGACCACCTGTTCAAAGTGCTGGTGGTGGGGGACGCCGCAGTGGGCAAGACGTCGCTGGTTCAGAGATATTCCCAGGACAGCTTCAGTAAACACTACAAGTCTACGGTAGGAGGTGAGACCTCGCTGGGGCCACGGGGGCGGTTAGGCGGAGGCCCCGACTACGGACTTGAGCTGTGGGCCCAAGCAGGGTGGAGGGGAGGAGGATTTGGTGTCCTTGGGTCCTTCTTAAGTCAGGAAGTGCGTGTTTGGGATCCTCAGGGGCGTCATTGCTGGGTGTTTGATTTGCGTATCCCTCTTGGGTTTCCCCTATTAAGTTTTCCCAGCCTGAGCCGGCTGCCTGGAAAGAGATAGGGCGAAGGTGTGAAGGTAAGAAATGGGTGAGAATATGAGCAGTTTCTGCGTTGCGCGGGCGAACTGTGAACTCCTGCAGCCTTCGAAGCTATCACAGGCAAATCATAGCGAGGGGCAGAGGCAGCCGAGACCCTCTGTATGGCCTGGTTAGGTGCCAGCTGGGACTGTTCACTGTTGAGGAAGAAACAGAAAGGTTTTTAACCTGGCCTCGAGGGGAGGACCTAGGACACTGAACTGGTCTGAAGGACCCTAGCTTTGTTATGGGCTTGCTTGGGCCGGGTGGGGTCACAAAATCCTCTACAGAGCCTTGGCCACAGAATCAGATGCTTATCAGGGCTGATGAGCTGTGTTTTCTGTCCACTGATTGCTTAAAGACAACCTAGGAATTCTTTGAAAAGTGTGAAATATACTACTTCTCTGACCTGTTTTCCCACCCCTTTTTCCCTTAAAGTGGGGATGGAGGAAGACAGAGGACACCAAGACTTAATTCATTTTTTTCACCTGTGGCCTTTGGACTCAACTGAACTTTTTTCAGCGGTAGAGATGCCTTGTTGCCTTTTCGTTAGCGTTTAGCTGGGAAGAACTGGTAAAGGGGGAAAGTAATTTAAACATTTGTTTATCTCAGTTAAAAGAAATTTTAAAGGAAAACTGTTGCTGTGAAGTTGATTCCGACTCATAGCGAGATCGAGCCTACAGGACCAGAGAGTCCCATAGAGTTTCCACTGCTGTAATCTTTACGGGAGCAAATCTCTAGGTCTTTTCTCCCACAGAGTGGCTAGTGGGTTCAAACCTTTTGGTTAACCACTGTGCCACCAGGGCTTCTTGTAAAAACTTGTACTAATCTGATTTTTGAAAATGAGTACTGGTGTTCGTACAGAATTTTAAAAATTATCAAGCATTTACATTGCAATTAAAACATTCTCCTTCCCCTGTAAGAACATCAGCAAAATTAAGGGTTTAAAGTTTCAAAGACTGTTTCCTGACCACCCTGCCCCTCCCCCTCACTCCTAAATAATATGAGGGTCCCTGTTTAATGGATGGAAACCCTAGTGGTGCAGTGGTCAAGAGCTGTGGCTGCTAACCAAACGGTCGGCCTTTTGAATCCACCAGGCACTCCGTGGAAACCCTATCGGACAGCTCTACTCTGTCCTTTAGGGTCGCTATGAGTTGGAATCGACTCGGTGGCAATGGGTTTGGGTTTTTTTTTTTTTTTATTTAATGCATGGATTGGAGCCCTGGTGGCACAGTGGTTAAGAGCTTGACTGCTAACCAAAAGGTCGGCAGTTCAAATCTACCAGCTGCTGTTTGGAAACCTTAAGGTTTCTGCTTTGTCCTGTAGGATCACTATGAGTCGGAATCAACTCAATGGCAACAGGTTTTTTGTTTTTTTTTATTTCATGAATTATGGAGTCCCTGGGTGGCGCAAATGGTTAAGCGCTCAACTACTAGCGAAAGATTGGCAGTTCAAACCTACCCAGAGGCGCCTCAGAAGACAGGCCTGGCAGTCTTCTACTGAAAGGTCACAAGCCTTGAAAACCCTGTAGAGCACAGTTCTACTTTGCACACGTGGAGTCTCCGTGAGTCAGAATTGACTTGATGGCAGCTAACAACATTTCATGGATTTGAGTTAAAAATGTCCTGCTAATTAACTTTTAGCAATTGCCCTAGTTTTCCTTTAGTAAAGAATATACAGTAAAAAACCTGCAAAGCCAGAACCTGTGTAAGACAGAAATGTATCAGAGAAGAACCACACAAATATTTTGCACTACAATGAGCGGTAGAAAAGTGGTAGGACTGCACTTTGTCGAAGACAGAAGGAAAACTTTCCAGACCTGGGAAAACAAGGCAGCCCCGTCGAATTTGTTTCACTGTCATTTATTCTGGCAAATTGTTTTTTGGTGTTTATTATAAATTTCCCTTAGCTCTTATTTCTGTCACAGATGTGGAAGAATGTATTTCCAGACCTCAGAAATTATCCTATTTCTCCGCTTATCAAAAAGCTTTTCCCCTTGGAATACTTGTTCAGCCTTAACTCATGGAGTCTCAACACATCTAATGCAATCCTGACCAGATGTGGTGGTAGATTCCAGCATAGCCCTTAAGAAGTATCCGTGCAGCGTTTATTTCCTGGTAATCCTCCAGGACTTTTTCCTTTTAATCCCATTCTGGCCTGAGATAATTCCTGTAGCCTTATGGGAGAGCTATAGAATTCCCTAGGGTGTATGTTTCTCATAATACACTTGAATTAGAAACCAACAGTGAAATTGAATGTGGAAGATGCAAAAGCGACAAGATTTGCCTCATTTCCCCTCCCACCCCATCATCCCTTCCCTGAGAAGACCCCCCAAATCTCCCAGAAACTGTTTAAGATTAGGAGTTGTTTTCATAATGACTCTCACCCTCCTGTTCCCAGCCTTTGAGACAAACAGTGTCAAATAAATTGGCTTGGCAGCAGAGTAACAGCTGGAGACGCCTTCAGAGAGGGAGTATGAATTATCTGTCCCATACCTAGTACGTGAGGGTGGGCTCAGCTCAGTCTGTTGAGGGCTTAAAATAAGTAATCCCCGAGACTATTGCCCTGAGATACTCTTCAAACCTTGAACGGAAACTAACCCCTCAGGTCACCTTGTAGCGAAATAACAAATTAATTCAAAAAATAATATCACCTGAAAGTACTGTGCTCCTTTAAAAAATCACCTATTTGAGACCAGTCAACAGTTACTTTAAAACAAAGGTAAGTAGTGTCTGGGGTCTTAAAAGCCTGTGAGTGGCCATCTAAGATAGTCCACTAGTCTCACCCTTTTGGGAGCAAGGGAGAATGAAGAAAACAAGATACGAGGGAAAGATTAGTCCGAAGGAACAATGGACCACAACTACCATGGTCTGCACCAGACTGAGTCCAGTAGAACTAGATGGTACCTGGTCACCACCACTGACTGGGATCACAACAGAGGGTCCCAGACAGAGCTGGAGAAAAATATGGAACAAAATTCTAACTCACAAAAAAATACCAGACTTACTGACCTGACAGAGACTGGAGAAACCCCGAGACTGTGGCCCCTGGACACCCTTTTAGCTCAGTAATGAAGTCACTCCCAAGGTTCACCCTTCAGCCAAAGATTAGACAGGCCCATAAAACAAAACGAGACTAATGGGGCACAACAGTCCAGGGACAAGGACTAGAAGGCAGGAAGGGCAGGAAGGCTGGTAATAGGGAACCCAAGGTTGAGAAGGGACAGTGTTGACATGTTATGGGGTTGTTAACCAGTGTTGTAGAACAATATGTGTACTAACTGTTTAATGAGAAGTTAGTTTGTTCTGTAAACCTTCATCTAAAGTATAAGAAAAAAGAAAAAAAAAAGATGAGAATGTAAGGGGGGGCAGGGAAACTAATGGAAATGGAACAACTAGAATGGAAATAATGAGAATGTTCACGCATTGTGAAGGATGTAACCAATGTCACTGAACAACTTGTGTAGAAATTGTTGAATGTGAACTTAAACTACTCTGTAAACCTTCACTGAAAACACAATAAAATATTATTTAAAAAATATAAAAATGAAATTGAGAGCTGTGTTCCACTAGAGTTGTAACTGCATATTTGGTCTGGGTTTTCTTGTGCGTTTTTTTTTCCCATACAAAAATTTAGACATACATTGTTATGTGACGCTAATTGCTCTCCCCATACTGTGACAGCACACTTCTCCTTTCCACCCCTGATTGCCCGTGTCCATTCAACCAGCTCCTAACCCTCTGTGCCTTCCCATCTCACCTCCGGACAGAAGCTGCCCATTTTGTATCTACTTGAGCTAAGAGGCACACTCCTCACGAGTATCACCTTATGTCCCACAGTCCAGTCCAATCCCTGTCTGAAGAGTTGGCCTCGGAAATTGTTTTAGTTCTGGGCTGATAGAGAATCCAGGGGCCATGCTTTCCGGGTATCCTCCAGTCTCAGTCAAACCATTAAGTCTGGTCTTCTTACTAGAATTTGAGTTCTGCACCCCACTTTTCTTCTGTTCAATCCAGAACTCTCTGTTGTGTTCCCTGTCAGGGCGGTCGTTGATGGTAGCCGGGCACCATCTAGTTCTTCTGGTCTCAGGCTGATGAAGTCTCTGGTTTATGTGGCCCTTTCTGTCTTTTGAGCTACTACTTTCCTTGTGTCTTTGGTGTTCTTCATTCTCCTTTACTCCAAGTGGGTGGGACCAGTTGATGCATCTTAGACAGCAGCTTGCAAGCTTTTAAGACCACAGACGCCACTCACCAAAGTAGGATGCAGAACATTTTCTTAATAAGCTTTGTTATGCCGGTTGACCTAGATATCCCCCGAAAGCATGGTCCCCAGACCCCTACCTCTGCTACTCTTTCCCTCAAAGTGTTTGATTGTATTCAGGAAACTTCTTGGCTGTGGTTTAGTCCAGTTGTGCTGACTTCCCCTGTAGTGAGTACTGCCCTTCCCTTCACCTAAGATAATTCTTATCTACTATCCGGTTAGTAAATAACCTTCCCCTTCCCTCCCCACCCTCCTAACCATCAAAAAAATGTTTTCTTCTGTGTTTAAACCTTTTTCTGAGTTCTTATAATAGTGGTCTTATACAATATTTATCCTTCCGTGACTAACTAAATTCACTCAGCATAATGACCTCCAGCTTCCTCCATGTTATAAGATGTTTCACTGCTTCATCGTTGTTCTTTATTGTTGCGTAGTATTCCATTGTGTGGATATACCGTAATTTGTTTATCCATTTGTCTGTTGATGGGTACCTAGGTTGTTTCCATCTTTTTGCTGTTGTGAACAGTGCTGCAGTGAACATGGGTGTGCATATATCTATTCGTGTGACGACTCTTATTTCTCTAGGATGTATTCTAAGGAGCAGGGTTGCTGGATCGTATGGTACTTCTATTTCTAGCTTTTTAAGGAAGTGCCAAATCGATTTCCAAAGTGGTTGTACCATTTTACATTCCCACCAACAGTATGTGAGTGTTCCAGTCTCTGTACAACGTCTCCAGCATTTATTGTTTTGTGTTTTTTGAATTAATGCTAGCCTTGTTGGGGTGAGATGATATCTCATTGTAGTTTTGATCTGCATTTCTCTAATGGCTAATGATTGTGAGCATTTCTTTTTTTATGTTTTTTTTTTTTATTGTACTTCAGGTGAAGGCTTACAGAACAAATAGTTTCTCATGAAACAGTAGTACACATATTGTTTTATGACATTGGTTAACAACCGCACAACACGTCAACCCTCTAACTTCTCAACCTTTTTTTTGGTGAAAATACACATAGCCAAAGATACACCATTTCAAAAATTTCTACATGCACAGTTCAGTGACATTGACTACGCTTTTCCAATTGTGCTGTTATTCTCGCGAGCATTTCTTCATGTGTCTTGTTAGCCACCTGAATATCTTCTTTGGCGAAGTGCCTGTGGATTTTTTTAAAGGTTAAATTTTATTAACGTATAATATACATTATATTCTCAGTGGATTTTGCTCTGAAGGTTCTCCAGTGGTCCGACTCAGAGATGGTGCGGCTCCAGCTGTGGGATATTGCAGGTGAGCTGGGCAAGCTGGATAGGAACAAGGGAAGGAAGTTCAGTTCAGCCAGCAACCTCTCAGAGAAAAGGGGAACAGCAAAACCCAAACTTTTTTTCTGAAGCTGGAATGGTTAAGTTGCTCTGAGGATACAGAAACTGAAAGTTTCGCCCTGAACAGATGTAAAGCAGTGTCTGTGTGGCTGAAGCGGGTGGTGAGGTGGTGGGCTGTCCAGACCATAGGTAAATGCTTCCACAGCATGGGGAGGGTGCTTTTTCTGGGTTTTCTAGGTTTTTAGCTGACCTTGATGAGAAACAAGATCCCCAGAAAATAGAGATGATAATAATAACAACTAACACTTATTATGTGCGAGTGCTCTTCTAAGCATTTTAAACTCCCTGGCTCCTTAATCCTCACGACAACCCTGTGATAAAGGATGCTGCTTTTAGCCCTACTGTACAGGTGAGAAATCTGAACCACTGAGAGTTTGCCTCCCCAAAGTCACATAGATAGTGTCTTAGTCATCTACTGCTGCTCTAACAGAAATACCACAAGTGGATGGCTTTAGCAAAGAGAAGTTTATTGTCTCACAGTCCAGTAGGCTACAAGTCCAAATTCCAAATTCTTCAGCTCCAGGGGAACACTTTCTCCATTGGCTCTGGAGGAAGGTCTATGTCATCAATCTTCCTTTCGTCTGGGAGCTTCTCTGTGCAGGAACCTCAGGTCCAAAGGATGCACTCTGCTCCTCGCACTGCTTTCTTGGTGGTATGAGGTTCCCATGTGTCTCTGCTCACTTCTCTCTTTTATATCTCGGAAGAGATTGGCTTAAGACACTATCTAATCTTGTATATCTCATCAGTGTAACTGCCGCTAATCCATCTTATTAGATCATAATGATTGAATTTACAACACATAAGGAAATCACATCAGATTACAAAATGGTACACAGTTATACAATACTGGGAATCATGACCCAGCCAAGTTGACAGATATTTTTGGGGGACACAGTTCAATCCATGACAGATAGTAAGTGGCAGAGCAGGGATTTCAACTTGGACAGAATCTTAACCACTACCCATGCTGCCTTTTCTCCCACAATGAAAGCAGAGGGTCAGAGAGGGGCTGAGACTGTTTCTAAAATCACCTCCTTGTGTACCCTCTCCTTTCTCCCCAGGACAGGAGCGCTTCACCTCTATGACACGACTTTACTATCGGGACGCCTCTGCTTGTGTTATTATGTTTGATGTTACTAATAGCACTACGTTTAGCAACAGCCAGAGATGGAAACAGGACCTGGACAGCAAGCTCACACTGCCCAGTGGTGAGCCCGTGCCCTGCCTGCTCTTGGCCAACAAGGTATGAGATCAGTCTAGGAAAATGGCCCCAGCCTCAGTCTGTGGTCGGAGAATAACTATGGGTTAGAGAATATAGTCTAAAATACTCTCTGGTTCTAGGCATCTTTTTCCCCTTCTTAAGTTGGCAGAATCATCTCTTCCTCTGTTCAAGGGATGGTGAGAGTGAAGCTTTCTTTGGGAAGAATATTGACTGTCTATTTTAGATGCTAGTATTCTTAGCCTTTGGTTGGTGGCAGTGTTTTAAATTCACAGGTATCTGAGCAGCGTTACTATTCCCAGGAAGTTTATGATGTTACCTTTTATTCTCTTTGCCAGTGTGATCTGTCCCCTTGGGCAGTGAGCCGGGACCAGATTGACCGGTTTAGTAAAGAGAATGGTTTCATAGGTTGGACAGAAACATCAGTCAAGGAGAACAAAAACATTAATGAGGCCATGAGGTGAGTAGCTTATGCTCTTCTGGGGATGTTGTTGTTGTTATGTTCTGTCAAGTCGGTTCTGACTCATGGTGACCCTACAGGACAGAATAGAACTGCCCCCATAGGGTTTCCAAGAAGCAGCTGGTGGATTAGAACCACATACCTTTTGGTTAGCAGCCAAGTTCTCTAGGCATGTAGATTTTCCCAACTTCCACTGCGGCCCCATGGACCCTCTTTTCTTGTTTCTGAGCAAAAAAGAACAGACCGAGTCATTGGAATGCCAGTTTCTGAAGGTCAGGGATGCGTCTTTCTCCTGAGATAACTGGGGACAGAGGGGCATTTGAACCTTGTGACTTTTCTGAATGCTGTCCATTGATAAAACAGATAATGTCTGCCATTTCTCCATTTCCTCCAACCAGTTCTCAGGCTTATTTTTTATTTGTTTTTTAGAGTCCTCATTGAAAAGATGATGAGCAATTCCAGAGAAGATATCATTTCTTTGTCCACCCAAGGGGACTATATCAATCTGAAAAACAAATCCTCCTCCAGCTGGTCCTGTTGTTAGGAGTGTTTGGCTTGTTTTTCATCCCAGTTTGAGGAGGTCTTTCCAGCTCTTCCCTTTGGATGCCCACCCAGCAGTTTTATTTGGTACATTTGAACATGCCTCAAAACCATCAGTTGGCTTATAGCAGCTGTCCAGTAAGGAGGCCCATCATCATTTTATGAAGACACCTGGGACCCGTGTGTATTTCTGCATCTCCTGAAATTATCTCAGCCCTGCTGCTGACTCACATGGCTGAGTTAGTGCCTTCTGATTAAGGAGGATCACCTCATCCCCAATTGGTTATCTGGAATTTTGTGGGAGGGATTAGAAATCAGCATCTGTGTTTTAAAGATCGTAATGCTCAGCTGCTTTTGACCTGATTTTTCCATTTGATGGATGTTAATATCATGACATCAGATGGAGGGTGTGGGTGGAGATCAAGTGTCATTTCCCAAATTCTAGGTCATTGCTTTCAGATTCTTTCTGTCTTGGATTTTGAATTTAAATATCTGATTCCAGGATGCAGAAGGAGGAGGCTAGACATCTGTGGGTTTGGGGCTACTGGAGGTGGCCCGGAAGTCACTGTGTTTTTGAAGCTTCTAGAGTCATAATTAGCTTCCTCTTGTCTTGGCTTCAAGAATAGTCAAGCTTTTAAACTACCTATGTTGTATGATGAGAGCATTTCTTTCCACAAAGAAATTAACCCTGCCAGTGGTGTGGGGCAGGGTTTGCAGGTTTCTGGGTTGGTGTGCTTAATACATAGTGCTGCAAGTGACATCACCTGGCTGTGGCGCTCTGGAATAGATCTGTAGGCGGCTCTGGGAATTGAAAGGAAGAGGAAGAGGGAGGGGTTAACAGAACTGATTCCTTGCTTATGAGCCATTTGGGCGGTTAGTACTTAACAGCCATAAGAAACAAATATTACGTACGATCCTAGCCGGGGGGTGGAGAGTGGATAGATAGAAAATCATCAGGTAATTTAAGTGCTAAATTGAGCAGGGTTTTCAGTATCAAATCACTTCCAGTCAGTTTAATTTGGTAAATTCTCTATAGGATGGTGATTTATACCCTACCCAGAGTTATGAACATTCTTAGTGAACTCAGAGGCCTAAGGTTCTTTGATAGGCCTTAGATAAGTGTCCTAAGTCAGTGGTTCCCAAATCTAGCTGATCAGAACCACCAGGGAAGTTTGTAAAATACATAAATAAATACAATTGTTTAAATAAAATATTTTAAGATGTCTGGGTCTCAGCTACAAACCTATGGAATCAAAATTGCCAGGGGTGAAACCCAGGAGTTTGTTTTGTTTCACAGCTCCCCAAGTGGTTTTGGTCAGCCTGGCTTGTAAACCATTGCTGGGGAACTGAAATGAGCCTGGGCCTCTGTATTCTCTGTTAATTCTCCAGGTGCTTCTGATACACACCAGACTTTGAAACCCACTGTCCTGAAAGACAAATCAGAGACCAAACATCAGAAGGAGAATGGGAACCAAGCTTCCATGTTGGGTTTTTAAAAAATGCCATTTATTACTACTTTTGCACAGTCTTTTTGAGACCTTAAAGTTCTTTTTCATATTACTATTTTCAGGTAGGGTTTTGATTGCGATGATTTTGAAGATACTAGTAACAAATTCCCTTTAATGTAGGAGAAAATTGATTTTTTATTCACTGGTTTGAACCCCTGCAAAATCACAAATAAATGGGAAGCAAGTCTTGTGTTTGTGCTAGTTATGGGCATTTAATATCAGTTTGTGGAAGTGCATTTTATACTGATAGTTCAAGAGTATCGTGGAAACAGAGCTTAAAAAAATAACCTTCTTCAAGAATGAAGTAAGTATCATCCTGTTTATCTGTTAATTTACCAGTACCAGTTGCCTTGTACTAATTCGCTACTTGATGTAACATCCCAGATACTGCTTAGAAATGTGACCATTTTAATAAATTAAATTTGCTTTCTGTTCCCATTTGCTGACTCAGGATTTTTACCTGTCTTTTCAAGCATTGCTGGAGGCTGGCTGTCAGCTTGTCTGGCTTTTCTCTCCCAGTTGGTGAACATTACGGGCCTGAAACTAATTAAAGAAGGAATTGAAATATAACTAATTCCTCTCTATCGCCCTATCCATAAAGAAAAGAGAAAGCAATTAAGATAAGGAAGAAAAGAAATCTTTACATGATTAGAAATGTGATTATACTAAAAATAATTAGGCCCTATCATTTGGGTGCTACCTCTTAGGTAAAATTGTTTGGAACATGGATATTGTTGTAACCCTTCCCTAGAGAAGTTTTCATATTTTAGACAAAGTGCGCCTCCAACCACTCAGCTGGTCTCTGGCCAAAAAGAAAACATGTATTCCCAGCAGAGTGTTCTGAGAGACCCAAGGAAGGGCTGTGAACAGAGCTGTGGGGTTGTGACTGCCATGGCTTCTACTTAGAACAGAATTGCTGAGTGACCAAGCAGGGAAAAAGAGAGAGAGATGCAGGGAAGGCCCCTAAGCAGTAAGTAATGGGCCAAAATTATTCCAAGATGATTTCCCTAATACACTTCCCTAGCTATTGCTAAGGTGTGATTGGGTTCTTCATTGTGTGTGTGTGTGCATATGTGGTAAAAATATATATAACAAAACATTTGCCAGTTCAGCAATTTGTACATGAATGATTCAGTGGCACTGATAACCATTACCACTGTGCTTTTCCAAATTATTCCACCACCATCAACAGAAGGGTAGTGGCTCCTAAGCAGTGAGCCCCTTTCCCCTCCCTCCCACCCCTGCTAACCACTAATACGTTTTGGTCTCTGCATTTGCCTGTTTGACGCAAGTGGGATCATACAATATTTGTCCTTTTGTGACTGACTGATTTCGCTCAACATCATGTTTTCAAGGCTGTTGCATGTTGTAGCATGGACCAGGACTTCATTTCTCTTTGTGGCTGAATAACATTCCACTGTATGTATTTTCCACACGTCGTTTATCGGTTCTTCTGTTGATGGACGTTTAATTGTTTCCACCTTTTGGCTATTGTGAATAGTGCTGCAGTGAATGTTGGTGTTTCTGTTTGCATTGCTGCTTTTCTTTAGGTGGCCTGTCTGTCTGTCCTCAGGACACTATCCCATCTTACATGAGGTTTTTCCTCCTGGCCCTCTTGTAGGCAGTGGCCTGATTTCAGGACGTCATTGAAGGTCATGGTCAGAGATACAGCAATCTCCATGGGATTCTATAAAATCCAGTGACCAGATTGCCCAAGGAAACAGACCTTAGTGCCTTTTTTCACTCCACCCCTTTTTGTTCAGTATGTATGAAAAGATTCCTCAGCTGTGTGACTCATTTATTAAAAGTCAAATAACCCCCAGAGCTGTAGGTTGCAATAGGCAGGAAGCTACTAGAAAATGATGTGTGTTAGGCAGAATTCTATATATATTTTTGATTCGGTAATAAACACCAGAAACTGAAAATATATCTACATATGACCTTTGTTGTAAGAAAAATCTTGCTTTTCTTTGGCTTTCAAGCATGATCTGAATTCTCAAGTTTGACCTGTAGGGTTTCAGTAGCAATGCTATTGCCCCTTCCGGTACTCAACTGTGTAATTCGTCTATTTTAATACCTCTTCTTCAGATTTCCTTTGAGTCACATTCAAAATCCATCTGATTGGGAACTATTGACATGTTAATGGGAATAAAGAGGAGAAGGTGGATAGAAAGAGGAGGGAAATGAGATGGCTTTTTATGGTTTCCCAAGATCTGAGTAGGGCACCTCAGTCCCACTGCATACCAACATCTGATTTTGTAGAGAACTCTTCTTTCAGACCTGTGAGTTGTATGGGCCTCTTACACTAGCTTTTAAATAAGAAGGCAAAGAAACAGTTCTTCCCATTTTATGTTTGAGGGAACAAATGTCTCAAAATCTGATTGACGGAAAGGCAGTGGTTGAATTTGTAGTAGAGCCAAGACATAACTGCAAGGCTTCTAATTCCCTGTCTCCATTCTGTCATTTAGGCTTCTGGGAAACATTCGGCCTGAAAAACCTATTTTAGAAAATAAGCCAGACATTTAGAGAAGCAGAACTGACCCCTTTTTTCGGCTTGAAACTCTTGGTTTGTGTTAAATAGCTTTTGAGGGCATGTTCATGTGTGGACTAGAGACGTGCGTAATTAAAGTTTGGGCCAAATTAGGTGTAGTGTAAAGAGCATGCAGGGCAGACAGGTCCTAAAATGTTTCATTGGCAAGTTCTGCTTACTGTATGTCACCTAGGTACAGTGACTGTCATTTAATTTTGAATATCAACTTGCTTATTTGCAAATGCAGGGGTTTTGATAGCCATTCCATTTTCAATGGTTGCTGTCAGTAGCTAACATCTATGTGCTGACTGTAGGCCAAGTACTCTCCTAAGCACGTCACTGGATTATTTTATTTTTACAATGACCCGATGAGAAAGGTATATGAGGAAACTGAGGCAAAAAAAATTAAGACTGTTCAAGGTTAGACAGCTGGCAAGTGACGAAACATTTTTAACTTTAGCAGTAACTCCAGAAACACTACACTGTCTCTCATTTTGCATGTATGTGTTTTTGGGGTGGCATCCTTGCAGTTTCTCTATATAACAAATTTTCAGTAGGGTGGAAATAGAGTGATTTATTAAATGGCTATAAAAATGTTAAGGAAAGTAGAGAAAAGAAGAAAACTCCAAATCACCCATAGCCGCAGAACCCAAACAAAGCCTCTGTTTACATTTTGATAAACTTGCTTTCAGCCAATATTTTTAATGCAAAGATTTTCCCACTGCATAATTTGTCATGGATTGGATTGTGTCTCCCAAAAAATATGTGTGTCAGTTTGGCTAGGCCATGATTCCCTGTATTGTGCGATTGTCCACCATTTTGTCATCTGATGTGATTTTCCTATGTGTTGTAAATCTTAATCTCTGCCTGTGGTTAATGAGGCAGGGTTGGTTTATGCTGAAGAGGATTAGGGTGGGATGTAACACCCTTTCTGAGGTCACATCTCTGATTCAATATAAAGGGAGTTTCCCTGGGGTGTGGCCTGCACCACCTTTTATCTTACAAGAGATAAAAGGAGAGAGAAGAGAGCAGAGAGTAGGGGACCTCATACTACCAAGAAAACAGTGCCAGGAGCAGAGCATGTCCTTTGGACCCAGGGTTCCTGCACGGAGAAGCTCCTACCTAGTCCAGGGGAAGATTGATGACAAGGACCTTCCTCCAGAGCCAACAGAGAAGGCCTTCCCCTGGAGCTGATGCCCTGAATTTGGACTTCTAGCCTCCTAGACTGTGAGAGAATAAACTTCTGTTTGTTGAAGCCATCCACTTGTGGTATTTCAGCTATAGCAGCACTAGATAACCAAGACACAATTGTATTCACATTTAAATAAGACTTTTGCTTACACACCTTTTATATATCCAGTATTGCAATAGGAGTTGTGGGTTTATAAAGACATGCCATAGAAGTTCAAAGGAAGAGGCCAAGGAAGGTTTCTTAAAAGGAAGTAGGACTTGATGAAAATTGAGAGAACGGTGGGATAGGATGTCAGGTTAAGACAGGGAGTTTAGCATTCTTATGCAGGTTTGGGAAGTAGCCAATAGATCAAAAAGTTCATACTGTGGAGCAGTAGAAAATAAAGTTAGAAAGATTGTTGACAAATTGTTGTTAGTTGTCCTTAAGTAAACTCCAACTCATGGCAAACTTACGTACAAAAGAAAACATTGCCCAGTTCTGCGTCATTTTCATAAGCATTGGTATGGTTGAGTCCATTGTTGTTGCTGTTGTGTCAATCCGTCTCAGTGAGGGTTTCTGTCATTTTCGTTGGTTTCCCAAACAAGATGTCTTTCCTGATAGTGTGTCTAAAGTAAGCGAGTCATAGTCTTACCATCCTTGTTCTAAGGAACATTCTGGTTGTATTTCTTTTAAGACTGATTTGTTCATTCTTTGGCAATCCATGGTACATTCAATATTCTTCACCAGTACCACAGTTTGCATCAGTTCTTCTGTCTTCCTTTTTTATTATCCAACTTTCACATACACATAAGGCTATCGAAAAGACCATGGCTTGGTTGAGACACACCTTAGTCATCAAAGTGGCATCTTTGCTTTCTAACACTTTAAAGAGGTCTTTTGCAGCAGATTTGTCCAGTGCAATACATCGTTTGATTTCTTGACAGCTGATTCCATGGACATTGATTGTTGATCCAAGTAGAATGAAATTGTTGACAACTTCAATTTCTTTTTCATGACAGATTGCATAGATCATTAATTTAACCAATAGCTGCATGCCTACCGCATGCCAGATACTTTATTAGGTGCATGGAATGCAGGGCTGGGGAAGTGAAAGTCCCTGTTGAGGGAGGACAGTCCAGAAGGGAGACAAACATGTAAAGAACTGCATCTCAGTATAGGGAGGTGCAGAGTCTTTACCTATTGTGAGGCAGGACAAGGAAGGAAGTCAACGATGGCCTCATGGAAGAGAGGGCACTTGAGCTGCATAAGAGTTTGCCAACCGGACGACTGCATAAAGAAGTGCATTTCAGACAGACAAAAAAAATGTGAACATCTTCCGGGCAACATGGCACTACAGACAGAAGCACCGTCCCTGCACAGCAAAGACCCGAAAAACTAAGTCAAACAGAGACACATCAATCCTGGAACCCTGAGGATCAAATGAAGAGACAAAGAACTCAGCCAAGCACCAAATAGAAAAAAGAAACTAAGAGAGAACAGAGACTGAGGAGAGTTACTAGCGGAGGTTCTGTATCAGCTAACACAACGCAGATTCGCCATCTTGGACTCCTGTCGGAGATCGGAAAACAGGGAGTACGAGAAGGCAGCTTCACGGAGCTCCCAGCAGGAGACAGAACAACTGGTAACCAGAAATATATGCTTTTCTACCCCTTACCCATCTTCACCCCCGACTCGGCCTCCTCTGCTTACTGCAGCCATAGTCTCTTGGCCAGAAGACACTGGCTTCAGCTCTGTGCCAGTTGGATTCCACCCACCCATACTGGCCCGCTCCCTGAGTGCCACTTGTTTGTTGCTGGTGTTGCTTTTTTCTGCTTTCTTGGTTTCTTCCATACCTCTTACCACCCCCACCCCCCCTTCTTTCTTGCAAATACCTGGCTCCGTGTACCATCTTTGTTTCTTGAAAGGCTGTGAAATGCCACTTGACTATGGAACTGCTTCCTGGCCCGCACCACCACACTGTTAGTTTCCCCAGGGCTTTTTTTTTTCTTTTTTCTCTTTTGGTTGGTTCTATTTTCTCTTATTTGTCCATTTGTTTTCTTTTTCTTTTCTCGGCTTGGGAACCTGTTGTAGCCAGGCTGTACTGTGTGGCTTGGGAGCTACTTCCCCCAGTCTTTGCAGCTGCACAGTGGGAACCCTGGGGGCATTTCTTTTTATTTTTGGTCTTTCTTTTCTCTCTTTTTTCCTTTTTATATTTCTTAATTTCTCAGTTTCTCATTTATCTATACTTAGCTTCTCTTCCTGTCTCCTGAATACCTGCTGCTGTGTGACACCTCTACCCCTTATAGCCAGGCTGTACTTTGTGGCCCGGGAGCCACTTCCCCAGCCTTTGCAGCCACACTGGTGGGATCCCTGGGAGCTTTTTTTTTTTTTT